TATCCATCCTGCTGTATGTGAGCGTATGCCAGCATTATTGTTAAGTGCATTGATGAATCGTGAGTTTAGTTTGTCTCCTTTGAGCAGGAGATGTACTTTAAGTAAGAAGTGACAGATACTGTAGGTCCAGGTGCATTACCATCAGCTGTGTCCCTTCAAGTCACCACACATCAGCATCAGCGTTTCCTGCTTCTACCGTGGTATTGTATTCTCAAGGTAACATGCTACTGATAATACATTTTTTTAGTGCTATGGACAATGCTGATGATTATGGACACGGATTGAATGATACAATTTGGAAAATGACAACTGATTGTCTCATCTTCTTGGTTCTTTTGGTAAAGTCACGTAGAAGGGAAAAAAGAAAATAATAATAATAAAACGTAATAAAATAATTCTCACGACATTTCGGCCACAACGCAAGCAGCCGTCCTCAGGTGAAGAACAGGTCTGTCGGGAAGACAGTGTCTGAATGAAACACCCCAGGCTTGGAGCGTATATTTAAGCTGAGTTGGAGGGGGAAGAGCGCCTTGACAAAATAATTAGCATATCAAGAGGAATTTAGCATATTTATGGGAAATGCAGATATGGGATTAGTCACTACTTATGAAATGCGTAGGAGGTGGGCAGGGGGTTTTAAAGTCATATTATGCCCATGCATTATGCAGGATTAGCAGCATCAAAGGTAGGGGATAGGGTAGCATTAATAAAGGGAAGGAATGTTAATATTATTTAGCTGCAGTAAATAAAGACCACGTAAAAAACTAAAGTATAAACTACATAGTATCATCAGTATACTAAATATACTCTCCACTAAGCTGAGCTACTAACAGTAAGTAATACATTACAATTCTATGTCGCAAAAAAATGTAATATACTTCCAGCTAAACGTTTTTCTCTTACATCACACGGGTCTACTCCGTACTATATACTGCCATGGACAAACCCAACATAAAATTATATACTTTATTACTATACACCACCTTCGACTATACATTTTAATATTAAACTATGTATTATTCTACCCACCCTACTGTATATCACACTGCTGTATATTCACTATACAATTACGATACTATATATTACGTTATACATTGTATTAAACATTACAATTTTATACTATTTATTATCATACAATCTGCTATACACTATACAATTGACCGTTGTGTGAAAGATACTAAGAGGAAGCAACGAAATATGTCAATGGGAGAGTGGTGGTAGGAGACTTGCAGCGGAGAAAAGAATCCATTCCCTGCGGAGAATACAAGATATATAGTCAATGCCAGTGAGTGGACTGCAGTCTGAAAGTCACCGTAAAGGTGAACACAATCAGTTAAGATCCGAAATGGTGCATTATGTCCTTCCAATGATTGCTGAGCCAGAATCCATCTTCTCGGTTGAAATTGTCTCTGTGTTTGTATATGTGGATCGCCTCATGAACGAATCTCTCATGGTAGCCAGATGGCTTGCAGAGAACCTCTGTCTTGGAGAAGTCAATGTCATGTGAGCCCACTGAATTGTAACAGTGATCTGCCATAGCTGAGGTGTTTGTCCTACCGTGTTTCAGGTCTGCTTTATGTTCACGGTTGCGGTCCAAGACATGTCGTTTGGTTTCTCCAATGTAACTGCTACCACAGAGGCAACTTAGTTTGTAGATGCCAGGGTACCGTATGTCTGGAACCACATATTTTATAGAACGAACCAGATCACGGAGTTTATGTACTGTGTTGAATCGGACCTGGATCTTGTGTTTAATCAGGATTTTGGATATCTTTTTTGTGACCCCAGCAATGTAGGGTAAGGTGATGGTTTTGAAAGGCTCTTAAACAGGATCCTTCTTGATGGTGGGAGTGATGGCTTTGTGGATTGTGTAGTCGGAGTAACCATTAGCCTTAAGCGCTTGGCGTACGTGTTTGAGTTCACTGGCAATGTGTTCCTGGTTGGAGATGCATTGGGCTCTATGGTATAGAGTCTTGATGAGGGAATTATTCTGGGATGGTGGTGGGAATCCGGTTTTAGGTAAGCATCCGTATTGGTGGCTTTCCTGTAGACAGAGTGGCTCATTGAACCATCAGGTCTCCTTTTAATTAGGACATCCAAAAAGGGTAGCTTGCCATCTTTTTCGACTTCCATGGTGAATCTGATGGCTGGGTGTATGGAATTATGTGGTCGAGGAATTGGTCTAGAGCAGGCCGGCCATGGGGCCAGCTGACAAAAGTGTCATCTACGTACCTCTTCCATAAGGTCGGGCGTAGAGTGGCAGTCTTGATGGCGTCAGTCTCAAATTTCTACATGAAAACGTTGGCTAAAACCAGAGATAGGGGGGAGCCCATTGGGGTGCCTCAGTTTGTTTGTAGAAAGTTCCATTCCCGGTGAAGTATGTATTGGTTAAGCAGTGTTTCACCAGGGGGGGGGGGTACCCCAGTATTCAGTCCTTGATAAGTCAAGACTTCAATTATTGCGATGGTGTCAGGTACAGGAACTTTGGTGAATAAGGAAACCACATCAAAACTGACAAGCAGGTCGTCTCGGGACAGGGAAATTCCCTTGATTGTCGATACCAGGTCTGCGGTACTAAACGCTACTCAAACAACAACCACCACCGTGTTACAGACGGAACTGGAAAAAAACAGCGCCCCGAACAAACTCCCAATACTGCAAGGGTGGAGACAGCGTCTGTACACCCAACTCACAGTCGTGTCCACGTGTTGGGGGGCGATCTCGTCTACCTAGGGCCACCCGTCGCGGCGTCCAACGCGACGTAACGATGACTCCCACAGACAACACCGACAGCCCACTCCTCCCCCGGTTAACCACCCCACCGGACGGGTAGCTGCTGCAAGCTGCGCAAGGCGTAATATGTTCAAAGCGGCTAACCCGCCGGATCATCCGGGCAGCTGCATTCTGCACTAACTGGAGCGTCTGCACCAATCCAAGTGGAAGCTCTGAATAGATAACACTATGTAACACAATTTTTGTTCCTGGGTAGTAAGTGTTATTTCCTAATTGCTCATGCCTAAAAAGTAAAGAAAATAGCTGTTATTCCCCAAAACCTTTGTTTTTGTGACCAGGACATTGATATTTTGAAATGTGCCTATTTTCAGTGAAATAATGGGTGAATGTCTTTTCGTTCAAATGAAGTCAGAAAACAACAACACATGAATCAAAATTAACATGTATTTATACTAAAGTAAAACAAAAATTATTACAAAATATTTATAAGTGAGTAGTTTTTTGAGATTTACAATTATACTGTAAATCACTTTCACGAATCAGCCCCCAAATATAGTCTCCCATCATGTTCTTGTTATACTGTCCTTGGTAGCGGCATTCTGCATCATAATCCAGGCGTGTTGAGACAAAGGCATGAACTAATGATTACAGGTCTGGGGTAGAGAGGAACGGGCCCAACCCTCGGAGTGTTTGTAGGTGGTAGAGATCTACCCTGAACGTAGCTATGAGCTGCGAGCGCACAGTCAAGCTCTGATCGAACAGCATACCAAGGTTGCGTACTTTGGACACACGGAGAGGACGAGCTCTCCTAATCAGTGGATGATCGATGTGGCCCTGACACGCTCGCAGACGCTGCTCTGAGCCAACTATCATGTACTCTGTCTTGCCCAGGTTTAGCTGCAGACGGTTTTTCTCCGTTCAAACAGCGACTTCAGACAAGCATTCTGAAATAACAGATATAGCGGCATCTGGATCTGACATACAGTGAGGGAAAAAAAGTATTTGACCCCCTGCTGATTTTGTACGTTTGCCCACTGGCAAAGAAATTATCAGTATATAATTTTAATGGTAGGTTTATTTGAACAGTGAGAGACAGAACAACAACAACAAAATCCAGTGGTAACCACACTTCTGCGCAAGAGCGCATAAGTGTGGTTACCACATCTACACCTCTAAAAAAGGAGCGAAACAGACTTCTCTACAAATCTGGCTGTCGCCTGATGAAGCTAGTTGTAATTACTGGCGGGTAACGGTGCCGGGTTCAGCAAAGGGCCTCGCCCGGTGGTTTGTGGCTCCACAAACTGGACCGTGAGCCCCAGCCACGTGACCGAGTTAAACACGGCAACTCCCACCGGTGTCTCACAGCTCGACTACTGGAACGCGACTTTGAGACAGTAACAAATTATTTTCATGAAGTAGTTTAAAGTGTTAAACTTGAAATAAAAAAGGTGAAGCTGAAAGACGAAGATAACAACAACAATCTCGTGGTGTAAAACGGCGGGGAGCAACGAGTTTACTAGCAGAGTTCCCCTGCCAGTTCAGTTGAGATGAGGAGAGTTGAAGTGAGTTGTGATGAGGTGAGTAGATGTGAGGATTTGAGACGAGGTGATCCGAGTCTTCGTTTTTAAGCCACCCCTGGAGTGGAGACGTCTGTACTCGCTCACACGTCAACACATTCCAGTGCATATCTATTGATATGCAAATCAAACTGAAAGACTTCCTACTTCCTTGTCACCTATTTACGTGGCTTGTTCCTCGTTTAGCGTCTCAGACGCAGCCAGCGACTGCCTGAGCTCCAGCCAGCGACTGCATGAGCTACAGCCAGAGACTGCCTGAGCTACAGACAGAGACTGCCTGAGCTCCAGCCAGCGCCCGTCTCTGAGTGGAGCCACAAAGCCATGGCGAGTGCGGCTCCCAGTGGTAGCGAGGTTCCATGGGAGTTGACCTGCCCCATCTGCCTGGACACCTTCTGCTGCCCTTGCACGCTCAGCTGCGGCCACTCGTTTTGCCTCAAGTGCGTGGAGGGCGCCTGGGATCCGACGGAGTCCTTCTCCTGCCCACAGTGCCGAGTGACTTTCCCTCGGAGGCCCAAGCTGAACAAGAGCGTGACGCTCACCAACCTCATCGAGCAGCTTCGAGTGGCTGAGCCCATGGCTGCCGATGCTTCTGCTTCTGCTGTTTGCTGCGATCATTGCAGGGAGCCCGCAGTGAAGACTTGCCTCAAGTGTGAGATGTCGTTCTGTGTGACCCACGTTGTGCCCCACCAGAAGTTGGCAAGGTTTAGTGACCACGTCCTGGTGTCGCCCGGTGTGAACTTGGAGAATCGACGGTGCGTGGAGCACGGAGCCGAGTACCGCGTCTATTGCATTAACAACGGACACCTCGTCTGCAGGGACTGCACCGTCACTGTGGATCATCGAGGGCACAAGCTCATCACTCTGAAGGTGGAGCACGACAAACGAAAGGTGAGGAAGAGGTTCTCACGGTCACCGAGCAGTACCCACGATACCGCAGCATCAACTGATGAACTCTGTCCTTGGCTCTCAACAGCAACATCTACTTATAACGAAACCACAGCGAGTGGCTCAGACTCATTTTAAAGTGGATTTAATATTTTACATCCCGTCAATTTATTTTTCAAACGACTGTTTGAAGGGTAAATTCATAGTACAGTCGACCCTTCTGCATCGCGACTTTCCCCATCGCGGTTTCGATATATCGCGGGATCAGCAGGAGAAATTAAATGAACATTTTTTGGGAGATTTTGGGAGTTTTGCGAAAGCCGCAGACGACACGCAAAAAGTTTAGTAACTCAAATGCACAAATTATATGTACAGTACTGTATAATATTCATGTATTTTATATTTTAACTAGCTTGTTTGCCCATCCAAGGACGGGTTTATTTTGCAGTAAATCTGAAATATTCAATAGAAAAATTGTTCAGCTCATGATTATTAATAAGGGGGGGGGGGGGGGGTTTGCCCCATATGGAATGATGTAACCCGCTAATGGTTATTGGTGAGGGGTGCGGCATGTGGAGTGACGTCACCCATTCATGATTATTAATGAGGTGGGGGGAGTCCATGTAGAGGACCCCACCTGTTCATGAATATTAAAGCAGGGGGTTGGCCTCATTTGGAGTGACGTCACGCGCGGGACACACAGACCATAAATATACACGATTTTTTGTGTATATTTTTTGGGTTAAATTCAGGCGCACACTGGAACTTTGGAGACAACACTATTTATTAGGTAACATAACAATTAACACTTAACATAACGACTTAAGGTGGTAGCCACCTTTCCTAACTTAACCAACCCACGGGGATACTACATCATTGGACCAGGACAGCCCAACACGCTGCCTGGTCCACTAGCGAAGACCAGAGAGCTTCATCACAGAGATGACCCAGCAGCAGAGCAGAACAGCCCAGAACAGCCCAGCTCTCCATCCACACCCCGCTTATAACCACTCCGGCGTGGCTGGCTCTGCCCCAGGCCACGCCCCCCCCTGGGGCCCCTGGCCCGCTTTTATCCGGTCACGTGTCCTGTTGGGTTCACGCAGAGTGTCACGGCCCGACACGACCTCCGTGACAACTGCCGACAGCCCCCATACCGAGCCACTACAGTAGTGTCGTTCTACTACTCTACACAGGCATCAGGGTCCGGTTCGAACCCACGACCTCCTGTTTAGTAGACAAGGCAGATAACATCTCACCACTATGGTGCCCTGTCCACCCACTACTCAGATAGCCCCGTCCACGACTCGGATAGGCCCGCCCACTGCTCAAGTAGCCCCACCCACTACTTTGGTAGCCCTGCGCACGTTTGAGCTCTTCGAAAAATCAGTTCCCTTCTGCGCTTGCTCCCCCGAGGCTCCTGCCCCCGTCACTGTGGAGGGGTTCGCGTGGAACGGGGGTGAGAGGGGACGCTCGGAGAGTGAGTGGAGTCTCCCCTGGTGACGTCTCTCACAGAAACAAGTGGGAGATGAGACGCGGGCGGTGGAGGAGAAAAGGAAGGAGGCGGAGGAGTCCGTGAGGCGGATGGAGGCCGATCGTAGGGATGTGCAGGTACCGCGTCTGGGCCGGACTCTGTGACCCCGTGACTCCACTCTGAGTAAGGTTTGTGATGGAGGACAACTCCATTCATTCACGTGGACTTCCATTGTCTCCAAACACATTGTGGGACGAAACCCACAACGGTCAGGACGAGTAAAGAGGTGGTTCTCATCTCCACTGAGAAACTAAATCAGTGGTGGAAATTCCACATTCCCATATCTCCATACAACTTAACACTTCAACGAATGTTAACTGTATTGGTCAGATAAGGTGTATCACACACAGACTGTTGTACACCATCTTACTGAAACCAATCAGGCTTTAGGGTGGCCAGGTGGCAGTAAAGCAAGTTGTTTCATGATCCCCTCTCTTCATCCATACACATGTGGCATTCTCTCACATTCAAAACATTCATTTAAAGAGGAATTGGCCTAACTTCCCATATCATGAAGTGTCTACTTGTTGAAGGCAAATTACAGATTTCCCTTCGCTTCATGTGAAGGTAAACAAAGCATTGTCCTGATAGCCTTGCGCAATGGGAATGGCACAAACGCTAAATGTACTCATGATGGTATTTGATGATTTCATTGCCTCACAGCCCCCACCAGCTATGGCGAATCGTGTTGTAGTGAAAATGCACAGTGGCGTTATCAGAGGCAGAGGAAGAAGGAGGCCTCAGTGCTGCAGACTCATATCACTGTCTAGACACCTTAGAGTTGCACTCGAGTCACACCGACCCGAATGTCATTTCACAAAGGACCAGACATTTAATGAACAGAGGTGACATTTATTTATCTTTGCAGGGATCCATGACAGATAAAAAGGCCTCAATCTCGGTCAGATTCACCCGCGAGAGAGCAGCGTTGGATGCGGAGGAGAAGGCGGCTTTAGAGCAAGCGGAGCAGAAAGTGCGCGAGCTGCTGTCCCAGATCGAGAAGAAGATCGCTCACTACCAGCGCGAGATCAGCGAGCTCCAGGCAGCAGCCACTCGCCTGCAGGCCCTAGCACAGAAGAGGGACTCGCTCGCATTCCTTCAGGTGAGCAATGAGTCTACAGTGTCGCTATTGGCACAGAGCCCTCTCACCAGGAGCAGCAGAGGGAGGCTCCTGGGCTTGAGAACACAGCTCCACTCATGGACTCGCATCGCAGCTCCAGTGGCTGCCATTTGGAAGGCCAGCTCATATTTTCTCAGTTAAATTAATTCTCTCTCCCGTCCTTTAACAGATTCCCATTAAGTTTGTTTCATTGTTAATTTAAACTAACTGTTAATGGAATTTAACGTTTTAAATCAACCATAGAACAACAATGTACATGGTATTCATGATCATCATCAGCCATAATCTGTCTACTTATTGATGAAGGCCTCCCCAAAACATTGCCACATCTCATGATGCCGCGATGCAACAATCCACCAGCTCCTGCTCACGACCAGATGTCATCTCTGCTTTTTACTTTGTGTACCTCCACGTGGATGCGCTACCTTAATTGTTCATATCTGGGATGCTAAAATAAATACGGTCTCATATACTTATTAATGATATCATTGTGTATTGAACATCACTTCTACAAGATCTGCACCATGTGCATTGATAACTCCAGAAACTTCTAGTTCTACGTTACTCTCAACACAGATCAATATCAAGCGGTCTCACTCTGACATATTTGCCCTGCAAATTAATGTTAGTCCTCATGGGGGTGGCGAGATGTTAACTACCTAGCCTGGGATACTGAAGGTCCGGGATTTGATCCCAACCCTGACGTCCTTATATATTTGGAGTTTACATTTCTCTCTCCATGGTCGCATGGATTTTTCTTCGGGTCCTCCAGTTTTTCCCTCCACATATGGAAACATGCGTTTAGAGTATTGGGCTGCTATACATTTCCACGAGATGAACCACTTCGTTGAGCTATCATTTGTGGCCAGGTCGCTTTTGAAAAAGAGCTCTATCGCTCAGTGGGCCTTACGTGGAATAATCAAAATAGTAGTTTATAGTTCACTATCAACCGGTCTCACTCTGAAATATTGGTGATCATAGGGTCATGAGCCAAGACTTTGGGGTTTATTTTCCACCCACGGTGTTGCAGTGGGAACTCCACTGATCACAAGGGATTGGAGGTAGAGTCGCAGTAATGCATCTCTCTCTTCCATAGCGGCACCTGGAGGAGACGTGCAGGTAAAAGATGACTTTCACTCACGACTCGACACACGACAACATGGGACTGAGTGTGGAGTGCGGGCAGTGAGACACTGGTTGTGTGGGGATGCTATGTGGGGATGCTGTGTGTGATGATGCTGTGTGATGGTGTTGTATGTGTGGATGCTATGTGTGGTAATAGTAATGATGTGTGGTGATGCTGTGTGGTGATGATACTGTGTGCTGTGTGGTTATGCTGTGTGTGGGGATGCTGTGTGTGGTCATGGTTTGTGTGGTGATGGTTTGTGTAGTGATGGTGTGTGTGATGGTGGTTTGTGTGGTTATGGTGTGTGATGACGGTGTCTATGATGATGCTGTGTGTGGTGATGTTGTGTGATGGTACTGTGTGTGGTGGTGCGTGTGGTGAAGCTGTGTGATAATGCGCTGTGTGGTGATGCTGTCTGATGGTGCTGTGTGTGATGATGCTATATGCGATGATTCTCGATATGATGGAGCTGTGATGATCCCACGTGTGTTGATGCTGTGATGCGTGTCTATGTGATGGAGTTGTGATGATCCTGTGAGTGACGATGCTCTATGTGAGACAGTAGCCATGTCTGTTCTGCTTTCACAGGGCAGGGAGGTTTACAGCAGATCCACCCTCATGTCCTAGCCAAGAGGACATTGCCTCGCTTAAAGACATCGAGGGAATTGTGGCCAAACTCCTGTGTGAGTTCTTCAGTTTGAATCACAATAAATTATCACCGTGTGTGTGTGTGCACGAGGGCGACTCAGCCTCAAATGATTACCTGGTGTTGCGTGTAAACATCACCACTAGGGAGACAAAGTTGGCCAGGCCTAGTGCTGGCCACCAAGCCCCTCATTTGCTGTGCCAGCTTTCAAAGGTGCTGATTTGCCCCGACAGTCTGTTAAGGCAACACGGGGAATATTTATCTTTGTTTACATTCTGGAACCTTATCCTTGTATTTAAACAATATCGCCACTCGGGAGAAAAAGGTGGTCGGGCGTGATGCTGGCCACCCACCTCCTCGTGTGCCCTGCCAGCCTTCATAGATGCTCGCTAACAGCACTTGCCCCAATGGTCTGTTAAGGCTACATAGGGGATCTTAGTCTTTGTTCACATCCCAATTCAGGACCCTACTGAACAGAGCCATGAGACTTAGTATGGCGTTCTTGGGTAAAGAATCAGCATTACGAGTCAGGGGTAATTGTGATGTTGAGATGGAGTGTGTGCCTGTGAATGTGTCTGTGCATTTGTAGTGGTGGTGTTGACGTGCGCCGACAGTGATGGGTCACGGGGCGCGGGGTTGGGCACGCGATGTGGGCGTGGTATGAACGCGCACGCCGGTGGTGAGGCGCGCTGATACAATCGGGGAAAAAAGGATCGTAGCCAGCGCGCGCAGTGATTGGTCAATAAGATGGGTGCTCTCAGCGACGTCCGCAGGAGGGGTATAAAGGGAGACGCGCGAGAGCACTCGTGGTCAGTGTTAACCAGTTGAAGACCGAAGACGGAGTGGAGGAGGTAGTGGCCCGAGACCCCTAGTCCCGCCGTCCTTGTCGGGACCGGGGCCCTGTGTGGCTCGGAGCCGAGACTGGGGAACCCGTAGTCCGACGCCCGCGTGGGTCGGGACGGTGGTACCCAGAGCCGAGACGGACACCCCAGCCGGGTGTGTTCCGGAAGGCTACGGGGCGTAAGAGCCCGTGTCAGTATAGCTGAGTGGGTGTTAGTCACCCGAGTAGCTAAGTGGGTGTTAGTCACCCGTGTAGCTGAGTGGGTGTTAGTCACCCGAGTAGCTGAGTGGGTGTTAGTCACCCGAGTAGCTAAGTGGGTGTTAGTCACCCGTGTAGCTGAGTGGGTGTTAGTCACCCGAGTAGCTGAGTGGGTGTTAGTCACCCGAGTAGCTAAGTGGGTGTTAGTCACCCGTGGAGCTGAGTGGGTGTTAGTCACCCAAGGGGCTGGGTGAGTGTTAGTCACCCGTGTAACAGTTTGGTGTCAATAAAAAGAGTGTGCTACCCGTGAAGACGTCTCCCGCCGAGTTACTACTTTACACATTTGTGCGTGGGGGGAGTGGTGGCATAGTGGTTAGCACACTGCAATACGAACCCAGTTATCTAGCTTTGATTAGTAGCCATGGCTAACATCATTGGCAGGTGATATCTGATCCAGTCCTGGGCCTCTGCTAGGCAGTTTCAACCTCAAATGAGTTCCTGATGCTGGTAATGGTCATAATGATGGTGATCGTGATGAGGATGGTGGTAATGATAGTGGTGCATCGGCCAGTCATCTCAGTCGTCCCATGACACATGGGTCTGCCCCATGACCTCCTGCCAGTGGGCGTTCTACACTTCACGTGGCCTCAACGTGCACGTAGCCTGGCACAAGCGCCGTGGTGACGTCACCGCCATTTAGTGGCGAATGGCGGTTGTTGTTGGTAATTATGCTGTTAGTGATAGTGAGTGATGGGAATAGTGATGACATTGGTGATAATATAGGTGGTGATGGTTGTGATGATTTTGGTGATGGCGCTGATGGTAGTAGGGATGATGATATTGGTGATGGTGATAATGGTAGTGATGGTGGTGATGATGGTTTTAATGGTCGTTATGATGGTTATAATGATGCTGGTCGCGTTGGTGATGGTGATGAAGATGTTAGAGATGGTGGTGATGGGGATAGTGGTGATTGTCAAGGCGATGGTAGTGATGGTGGTGGTGATTATTTGTGACGATGGTTGTGATTTTGTTGATGGCAATAGTGTTGTTGTTGATGTTCACAGTGTTGATAATGGTAGTGATGGTGATGTATATGTTGTTGTCATCGATATTGATGGCGAGGATGCTTGGTGATGGTGATGTTTGTGATGTTGGTGATATTGATGGTGGTGATGGTGGATAATGGTGATGATGGTGTTCTGTCGTGATGTTGTCATCGCTGTTGTTACAGACGGATGCTCACCGACTCTGGACACAAACTCAGCTCATAACCAACTCCAGATCTCTGCGGATCTCAGGATGATGACGCGGAACCGTGACTCACAGGGTCGCCCCGATCACCCACACCGGTTTGATGGCTGTGCACAAGCCCTGTGCTGTGAGAGCTTCTCGTCGGGCCACCACTACTGGGAGGTGGACGTGGGGGACGCGCAGCTGTGTAGGGTTGGAGTCGCGCATGGGACGATCCCACGGAAAGGGACTGGTGATGCACAGCAGCTGGGAGGGAGCGACGCGTCCTGGTGTTTAGAGAAATGTAACAACAGCTTATCAGTGGTTCATGGTGGAGTTAAGACTGCACTGTCGGTGAGGGGGACCTTCTCCTCCCGCAGAATCGGCCTTCACCTGCACTGGGAGGGGGGGCTCCTGGCGTTTTACTGCGCCGACTCCATGGAGGTGATCCACGAGGTTCGGCAGAGATTCTTGCAGCCTCTTTACCCTGCGATGTGGATGGGGTGTTTGAAAGAACCATTGAAGATCGTGGATCTGAGTCGTTTATCCTGAGGATGAGAAATAGAAACCCAAGAAACCAAGACAGAACCCAAGAAACAGAGGAGAGGGTGGATGTTGAGGAGAGGGGGAAAGTGAGGGTGGGGGAAGGTTACGGGTGAGCGTGGAGGGTGATGGTGACGGTGAAGAGTGAGGAGAGGGTGAGGAGAGGATGTGAAGGAGGGTGTACAGAGAGGGTGAGGGGGAGGGTAAGGTTGAGTTTGCGTGCATGAGCCGGTGCAGTTCAAATCGCAGGTTCGTGTGGCCGCTCCTTCACCTGCAGTGCGTGCTCACATCACCACACCGTCTCATGCCTGCGATTCACCACCATCATCATCACTGTCATCACGACCATCACCACCATCAACACCACCACCATCATCATTATCACTACCATCACCACCATCACCACCATTATCACCCCATCCCCACCACTGTCATCATCACGACCATCACAACCATCAACACCACCACCATCATAATCACCATAGTCATCAATACCACCATCATCGCCATCATCATTACCAACAGCATCACGAATATCATCATCACCATCATGATCACCACCACCACATCACTATCAACTTCCATCACTATCATCATTACTATCAACTCCACCAAAACTATCATAATCACCATCACCAACATCGTCAATATCATACCACGTTCACAACCATCATTATTATCATCATCACCCCATTATCATTACTATCATCAGCAACATCATCATCAACATCATTATCCCCATCATCACCACTACCACAATCACCACCATCACAACCATCAACCACCACCATCATCATAATGATTATCACCACAATAATCAGCACAATTATCACGTCCATCATCATAATCATTACTTATCATTACCACTATCATCATCATCACCATCATTATAACCATCATCATCATAACCATCATCACCACCATCAAAATTATCACCACCATCATCACCACCATCATTATCATAATCACTATCAGAACCCACGTCACCATCACCATTCTTACCACCAACAACAACAACCGCCATTCGCCACTAAGTGGCGGTGACGTCACCACGACGCTTGTGCCAGGCTATGTGCACGTTGAGGCCACGTGGCCTCATTCTTACCACCACTACCACCACAATCATCACCATCATTACGATCATCAACATTAATACCACAAAAACTGCCATAATTATCACCATTATCACATCCACCATCACGACCATCATCACCACTATCATCCTCACCGTGAAAACTTACTATCACCATCATTCCCACCATCTCCCTCATCACTACCATTACTACCATCACTGTCATTATCACCACCGCTACCGTGATCACCACCATCATTATCACCATCACTACCATCATTACTACCATGATCAACACCACTACCTTCATCACCATTTCACCATTATTACCACCACTACCACCATCATCATGGTAGCGTCTTTGTAACGTCTTTGTAGTTGGGGCTGTTATTTTTGTTTATTGTGTTTAACCGGGGCGAGAACTCAAGACACCAGAATAGGAGTTTCATTTGTAAAAGTGAGTGGAATGGTGAGCGAGTGCTTGGGTGAGTGAGTAGATGAGTAAGTAGTTAAGTGACAGAGATGGTGGGTGATTGAATGATTGAGTGCATGGTTGATTGGGTGAAATGGTGGGCGAGTGAGTGGGTAAGGAGACGGGGGAGATGGTTGGTGGGCAAGTGAGTGAGTGCATGGGTGAGTGGGTCGGTGGAGTGTTTGAGTTAGTGAGAGGGTAAGTGAGTGGGTAAACTATTGAGTGTGGGAGTGAGTAGATTAGTGAGTGAACGATTGAGTGCATGGGTGAGTGAGGTGGTGAGTGAGTAGCTGAGTGGGTCAGTGGTTACGTTAGTGAGCGAGAGGGTCGGTGAGTGGGTAAATGATTGAGTGAGTTCAAGTATATCGTCTGTAACCGGGTGTAGAACTCGGAAGACCGGGACAGCAGTCTCATTTGCAAGAGTGACCTGGGGCTGGGGGGAATCTCCAAAATAATAAAAACGACAACGTGAGTACAGGAAACAATAATGAAGCGAAGATTGAAGATTAATTAGCGGAAAAAACAACCACCACCGTGTTACAGACGAAACAGGAAAAAAAACAGCGCCCTGAACAAACTCCCAATACTGCAAGGGTGGAGACAGCGTCTGTCCACCCAACTCACAGTCGTGTCCACGTGTTGGGGGGCGATCTCGTCCTACCCAGGGCCACCCGTTGCGGCGTCTAACGCGACGTAACGACGACTCCCACAAACAACACCGACAGCCCACTCCTCCCGCCCCCCCCCCACCCAGGGTACCTGGGTTTGTTGTCACAACGGCCCCCAGGGCGAGACCGTCCCGGTCCTCGATGCCGCCCGGCGACCAGACTCCCCCTCGGCGTTGACCTCCCTCCGGGAGCATCCGTGGAGTGAGCAGCTGGACGCTTCGTTTGTAACCCAAACGGAGCCGTTGCCTCCTCCCCAACCTCCTCCTCTTTCCCAGCACTCAGCCTCCCATGTGTAATGTGAGGATATATCCGGCTCACTGACGTATCACAACTCGTCATGATGATTGGCTCTGCCGGTCCTGGTCTATATCCAATGGGGGGAAGCCTAGGGGCGTGGCCCTGACGTAATGGACAGGTGACAGCTGTCATCTCGTCGCCTTCATCGCTGCCGTCTTCACTAGATATTGCACTGCTGGAAGTTGTTGGCTATCCCAGTCGGCGCCATCAATGTTTGATGGTTAGGGTTGTGTACAGGCTACACTAAGTAATGGTGGAGAGTGTAAGGACGAGACCGTGGAAGCTGTGAAACACATTCCTGCGGAGGGAGCTGGTAGGAACGTTGGGTTGCTCGGTCAATAGCCAAGGTCAACGGCGGCGTGGTGTATTCCGCAAATATGCCCGACTGTTAGGGCGGGCACAAGCCGGCGTGAGTAGGTGAAACGTTGAGTTTTATAAGGGCACCACGGGGTGACCAGCCCCTCCCCACCCAGCCCCACCCAGCCCCTCCCCACCCTCCCTACCCAGCCCCTCCCCACCCTCCCCTCCCCACCCAGCCCCTCCCTCCCCACACAGCCCCTCCCTGCACGACGGACGGACACAATAATCCCCTGTGGGCTGGTGTAACCAGGAGGTTCCTACCAGTAAGAAGGTGCCTCCTAGAAACTCTGTCTCTGAATCGTTGACCTTACATTTGATGTAAGGAGTGCTTATAAAATTCAAAAGACATTAGGGTTTAAGTACTTATTAAGTAGCAATGTCAAAGTTATCCAAGAAGAAGAGCTCCAGTGGCTTCCTAATAATGTAAGTGAAGTATTGGAATTGACGGCAGGAACTTCTTGACGGGTAACACACTTTTATTAAATCTTTACGTGTCACAATACAACGTGTGGTCTTCCTTCTTCCGACGACACACTCCACTAATCTCGTGTAAACTCTAGGCCTCTGGCTACACCCGATACACTTGACTCGTGTAGACCCTATGCCTCTGGCTACACACAATATACTCGACTCGTGTAAGCCCTATGCCTCTGGCTACACAATACACTCGACTCGTGTAGACCCTATGCCCTGGCTACACACAATGCATTCGGCTCGTGTAGACCCTATGCCCTGGCTACACACAATGCATTCGGCTCGTGTAGACCTTATGCCTATGGCTACACACACTACACTCGCCTCTGGGTTACACAGAGTCCCGGTCCCGTTAGGACAGCGGGGCTAGGTACCGCAGGGCTCTAGGTCTTCATCCCCGTCTTCATTCTTCGCTGGTTACACACTGCCCTTACGCCTGTGCATCCCCTTTTATAGCCCCTGCTCACGAGAGACGGAGCTGATGCGGACGTCGACGTGAGCGTCGTTCCTTAATGAACCAATCACGACGCACTCTCTCTACGATCCGCTTTCCCCAGCGCGTGTTAACATTACTCCACCAATCACACTGCGCTGCCACCTGATCACTCCCTCTCAGCGCGTCACCGGCCCACAGCCAATCGGTACCCCGTAACCCACGACCCCGCGCTGACCCCTGATCCTCCACCGTCAGCGCGCGTCACCACCTACACAGCCAATCATCACGCGCTGGCATACGATCCCTAATCCCAGCGCGTATCACCTCTACATCACCCCCTCCCACATAGCTTGCAGCCGGCCCGGCTGTTAACCAACAACACAACCTAACGTCAACGCAGTAATAAAGAACTCCACATCCCAGTGTGCCCCGTAACACAACAACAACAACATAACACAACGCAACACTTAAATACGAAGCAATATACAGCCCGACGAACAACACAATAAAAGCGAACACCGTAAAACGAACGCGCCAAGTGTCACTGTGACCCACGCAGTGCCGAGGCGCTCCGGCTGCCTCGACTCCGCATGTGGTAGGTTACACAAAGTAGCGCGACCTAGCGCGAGTCCGTCTGGCCGGTCCGTCGTATGGGACGGGACGTTGGCGACCGTCCGGTGGCTCCGGCAGCTCTAGACGGCGCGGATCGGGCCTGGAAGGACCGGCCCCGCCGTGAAGATTCGGCCGCCGGTGGTCGGCAGCTGTCAGTTCCGAGACACCTGGGAGCGGATCAGGCGGAGACATGTGAGGAGCAGGCAAGGACAATTCCCCCTCAGGGTCGTCGGTCACGTCACATGCTCGGCCCTCACGACACAAGGGGAGGCCATACGGAGGCGAGAACGGTTTCAGTCGGGAGGGGTGGACGTACCAACGGCGTTTTCCCCATTTTATCTGAACGCACTGGGGGCGTGCAACCCGCACGACCTCCACGGGTCCCCGCCACGGCTTCAACAATTTAGGCGACGTGGCCAAAGGTGCCTGAGGGCAATGCAGCCAGGCCCTGTCACCTGGTTCCCAATTGTGCACGGACACCTTCCGTGCCCGCAACCGCTCGTTCGCAATTTGGCGAGCCCGCGAATTAAGCCGTGCGGCCTCCCTTGCCTCTGTCAGTTTATGAATATTAAATTTAATATGCTCTGCCAATTTCGAATTAGTTCGTGGCGCGGGCAGACCCAGCTGCGTTTCCATGGGTGGGTCGGCTTCCCGACCGTACATTAGATAAAACGGGGAAAATCCCGTTGCTGCATGGGGGGCCATTCTATATGCGGCAAGGACCCCAGGGACCTGCAGGTCCCAATCAACATGTGACTCACATACCTGCTGGCACAGCATAGAGGTCAATGTCCTGTTAAGCCTCTCCACCATCCCGTCCGTCTGCGGGTGGTACGGGGAGGTACGCACCTTCTTGGTACCCAACAGGTCGCACACCTCTTGCAGTAATTTACTCGAAAAATGTTTCCCTTGGTCAGTCAGCAAGCGTTCGGGAGCCCCCTTGTCCAGGACGTAGCCCTGGACAAAGGCGTCCGTCACAGCCGCCGCCGACTGGTTGGCGAGCGGCCACGCCATAGGCCACCGGGTAAAATATTCGACCCCCACCAACAGGTACTTATTACCCCTAGGCGTGACCGGAAAGGGCCCCAGAATATCGAGTGCAACGAGCTCGTTAGTGCGCGAGACCTGAATAGATTGCAGCGGTGGATTAGCTGCCACGGGCGGTGGTTTCCGTCTGGCGCACTCAACACAACCCTTCAGAATATTCACCACGTCACCCCCCATTCCCGGCCAATAATAGTCACGTTGAAGCAGGGCAAGCGTTTTGTTAACTTCCAAATGCAAGAGGCGTTCGTGTGCGGCCAAGACAACCTTCCCCCTCACAGCAGAAGGCACCACAATCGCATGCCGCCAGGACAAACTGTCCCATCTCATCAACAGGCCTTGCTTAAGCTCGTAGGAGCCAGTTCGGTCGTGGTTACCTTCGGAACCCTCAGTCTTTCGGCGCAATGCCAGCAGGGAGCTGTCCGCCATTTGGAGACGGCCCCACTCAATCAACGACAGTGAGAGCAGCGAGTCCTGACCCCCTGGGGTAGCGGGACCATCCCCAATTGGTGTGCTCGCGGTCGCAACCAACGCCTCCCTACCTTCTGTAACCGGAGGTTTACAGCGCGCCGATCCCGATAAGCACGCACATTTGTGACAAGGCAACAACCGCGACAGGGCATCGGCATTCGTGTGTCGCAACCCTTTACGGTACGTAGTCGTGAACTGATAGTCCTGGAGGACTTCCAACCACCGCGACAATTGGCCCGAGGGCTGGGCAACCCTTAATGAATACTGGAGCGCCGCGTGGTCCGTCCGGACCGTGAAATGACGACCATAGAGATATGGCCTGAATTGTTGTACAAAAAAGACAATGGCAAGTAGTTCACGACGGGTGACGCAGTAGCGCTGCTCTGCCGGCGACAACACCCTGCTACCATAGGCGACCACCCGTTTGACCCCTCCAACGACTTGGGACAGCACTCCCCCAATGCCCGTGTTGCTAGCATCCGTGTCTAGCAAGAAGGGACTCGCAAAGTCCGGATAGCGCAAGGGTGGGGCCCTTACCAAGGCGTCCCGGAGGGAGCAGAATGCAGCCTCCTCCTCCGGTCCCCACCGGAACTTCACTCCTTTTGCCATTAAAGCGTGCAAGGGCTTTGCAATGGTGGCGAAGTGCTCAACGAATCGGCGATAATACGAAGCAAAACCGATGAAACTGCGCACGTCTGACACTGACGTGGGCGTCGGCCACGAACTGACACAGTCCGTCTTCGCAGGATCGGTAGAAATCCCCGAAGAGTCGACAATGTGACCCAAGTACCTCACGGATTTACGAAAAAGATGGCATTTGGCCGGTTTAAACTTTAATTTAGCCGATCGCATTCGCAAGAACACCCCTCTCAATCGCTGGAGATGTTCTTCAAACGTTTTACCGAAAACAATGACATCGTCAAGGTAAATGAGGCACGTATCCCACTGCAAGCCCGACAAAACCAATTCCATAAGACGCTGAAACGTCGCAGGAGAGGAGTGAAGTCCCATGGGTAACCGGTTAAACTGAAACAGGCCCCCTGGAGTCCGGAATGCAGTCTTAGGCTTAGACTCCTCGTCGAGTGGCAACTGCCAGAATCCGGATAATAAATCAAGAGTCGAAAAGTATCGCGCACCGGACAATGCGTCGAGAGACTCGTCCATCCTGGGGAGCGGATACGCGTCGGCCACCGAGATCTTATTCAGGCGACAGAAATCGACGCAAAATCGCAGGGACCCGTCCTGTTTTTTAACGAGCACAATAGGTGCTCCCCAAGGACTGGAAGAAGGCGAAATAATGTCGGCTTCCAGCATATCGTTAACTGCCGACTGAACATGTTCCTTCTCAGCAGGACTCAGTCGGAAGGGATTTTGCCTGACCGGTGCCGCATCGCCCGTTTCAATGTGGTGGCGTAGCAGGTCCGTGCACCCAATATCATACTTATGTTTACTGAAGACATCCGAAAATTCAATCAGCAACCCGCGCAGCGCACCCAACTGTACCGCTGACAAATCGTCAGAGTCCGCGCACAGCATATCAATCCAATCGAGGTCCTCCTTCGATGTTACGTTATTCGTGGGGCTCGGATCAGCCTGCGCAACCAGCCTCTCCTCCGCAGGGACCCGTGCCGCGTGAGCTAGCACGGTGCCCTGCTGAATGACGGCCGGCCGCGCCCCAGCGTTTAAAACCATCACAAACGGATCCCTGTCGGCCCCAACCAAAGTGTGAGCCACCGATAAATCGAGACCTCCAACAGCCCTATTAGAAGGATCCAAAAGCATGTCCTGTTCCGAGGCCTCCTTCCCCCATGGCTTCCGCAACCGGAGGGGAATCAACATTTGTGAACCCGGGGGCACGTGCACGGTCTGTGTCGCTAACGCCTGTATGGTAGCGCACGCCGTCCGAATTACATTAGGGCTCGTCAAAAATGAAATACGGCGACCCGATGGTAGTTCAATGCAACGCTCATCAATGAGAATTTTGATGGGCATTTTTGCCAAAAAATCAGTGCCCAATAGGCAAGGAACCGCCAG